ATCTTTTTGTTTAGTTCCTCCAATTTTTTATCTGTGTTTTCTTTAGATATATTTAGAATCTCTTTCATTTCTTTTATCATTTCTTCTTTTATCTGGGAGATTATTTCGAGTTTGAATTTCTTTAAAGCTTCCTGGAGTTGCTTGTCAATTTCAGTGGCTATTGTGTCCGATATATGAGGTGGATGGGATATATTTTCTTCTATATACATCGCTCCTAGGGTTTCTTGAGATGGGCTGGAGGTTTGAGGTTGTAATTTGGTCTTTCGTTTTGTCATTTTCCTATATTTCTGTGTTTCAAGTGTTATTTGAAAGCTTCCTCAGGATCTGTTGAAAATCCCCTTCTATGTTTGGAGCTACTGAGACTCTGGTGCCGCGCTACTCCAAGCCATTAGGCCTACAGAACCAGTGGCCCTCCTCTGCCTGCTCAGAACTCCGCAGTTCCAGACAAGCTGGGCCTCAGGGACACTGTGCGCCCACCTGCCCCTTGGAAGCTCCACAGGTCTTCAATCGCAGCTGGGTTAGGGTACTCACCACAGGCCACAGTGCTTCAGGAACCTGTGGACCCTCCCTGGTTGCAGAGATATCCAGAGTCCTCGAGACACATGGAGAGGCCGATGCAGGCACCCCAAATCTGCCCAGCTCCTCCTCTGCAGACCAATGGCCAGGCGCGGCAGCTAAACAGGCTGGGCTAGGCTGGTAGTGTGGGCCAGCCCACCTATCGGGAGCTGAGCAGGTCTCCAAGTGAAGCCGGGAATGGGGAGGCTGATGTGGAAGCCTCAAACCCACCTCTCCCCTTCACTGCACCTGGAAGCCTGAGGGAACTCCAGCAGTCTGGGCGCAGATATCCAGAGTCCTCCAGACACGCAGAGAGGCCGGTGAGGGCACCCCAGATCTGCCCAGCTCCTCCTCTGCAGACCAATGGCCAGGCGCGGCAGCTAAACAGGCTGGGCTAGGCTGGTAGTGTGGGCCAGCCCACCTATGGGGAGCTCAGCAGGTCTCCAAGTGAAGCCGGGAATGGGGAGGCTAATGTGGAAGCCTCAAACCCACCTCTCTCCTTCACTGCACCTGGAAGTCTGAGGGAACTCCAGCAGTCTGGGCGCAGATATCCAGAGTCCTCCAGACACGCAGAGAGGCCAGTGAGGGCACCCCAGATCTGCCCGGTTCCTCCTCTGCAGACCTATGGCCAGGCGCGGCAGGTAAACAGGCTGGGCTAGGCTGGTAGTGTGGGCCAGCCCACCTATGGGGAGCTCAGCAGGTCTCCAAGTGAAGCCGGGAATGGGGAGGCTCATGTGGAAGCCTCAAACCCACCTCTCTCCTTCACTGCACCTGGAAGCCTGGGGGAACTCCAGCAGTCTGGGCGCAGATATCCAGAGTCCTCCAGACACGCAGAGAGGCCGGTGAGGGCACCCCAGATCTGCCCAGCTCCTCCTCTGCAGACCTATGGCCAGGCGGGGCAGCTAAACAGGCTGGGCTAGGCTGGTAGTGTGGGCCAGCCCACCTATGGGGAGCTCAGCAGGTCTCCAAGTGAAGCCGGGAATGGGGAGGCTGATGTGGAAGCCTCAAACCCACCTCTCCCCTTCACTGCACCTGGAAGCCTGAGGGAACTCCAGCAGTCTGGGTGCAGATATCCAGAGTCCTCCAGACACGCAGAGAGGCCGGTGAGGGCACCCCATATCTGCCCAGCTCCTCCTCTGCAGGCCTATCAACAGATTTGTTTCCAGTTCACATCAAAATGATACTGTTTACTTATCAATTGAAGTAATATTTCAGTGTAATCTGAATATGTACGTGTATACAATGCAAAATAAATTTTTCTGTTGAAAAGAAATTCTTATGGTTAGGACTCAGTTGAAGATTTCTGTATCTTTGGAGATGGCTGGAATGAATGGGTATACCAAGACTGGATTTTCATTGTGTGTGTGAGTAGTTCAGGAGCTGCAGAGTTTAGAACTGGCTTCTTCTTTGGTGAATAGGCACTGTGACATAGCTCCCTTCACTTGAGGGCTGCTGCTCCCAGACTCCTGTAACAGACCTGCAAGTGAGTGAGTCCCTCCTTGTGTAGTCCTCTCTCTCTCACATCATCTGATTCACAGACTTTCCTTTGGAGTCAACATAGGCACTTTTGGTTTGGGTTTCTGACCTGTAGTTCTCTTCCTTTTCCTGCTCTCTTCCCCCAGTACTGGGGATTGAATAAAGGGTCTTCTATTGCCCTTTTAATTTTTTGTTTTGTTTTGTTTTGTTTTGTTTTGTTTTGAGGCAGGGTCTCACTAAGTTCTAAACTGTCCAGGTTGGGCTGTGATTCTCCTGGCTTGTCTTGGTCCATTGCTCATTTCAGCATATCTTTTTTTTTTAAACTAATTTTTTTCATTTAAATAAAGAAAGAATAAACAAAACAGAAAAAGGGTAGAAATATTACAAACTTTCAAAGAAAAAATAAACAGTAAGAAATCACTAGTTGATGATTACATATTGTCTTCTTACAAATAGTTATGCAAGATACAAAAGTGAAACATACAAAGTGGGGATTCAGACAGCAAGACTGCAAACAGTTTTGTTCAAGTATCCAACAAGAACTTAGTAATATGGTTATCAATCCTATACACTTACACATACATGCAGTTATCCATATCTTCATGTATGTTAAGATTAAACAAATCAAAGCAGGCTAAAATCACTCTTAACAAAGAATAATAGTATTGCTGTATTTCATATCATGACACTACAGGATCAGCACTGGGTACTGTAGTGTCTCTTTTTCTTCAAAGTAGTTGTTCATTTCATCATGCGTTATTGGAAATGTAAACTAATTTAAAAGTTGTCAAGTATTGACAGTTGACAACTGTATTTTAATGAAAGAACTTTACAAGATACAAAGCATAGTGTGGACAAGGAACTCTATAGAAGAGTATTTTCACCAAATTTTAACAAGAACTTCTTCTCTGATCTACCTCAGCACATCCTTTTTTGATCTTTATCCTGTTCAGTTTTGGGAACTTTTAGCAGTAAGAAAAGAGGTGGGTTCTAACCCCACAGGGGATACTGGAATTGACCTTATTGCTAGCATCCAAGAAATAGGTGATAGATGGTACAGACTGTTTAGGGGAACGACTCATCAAATAGTGCCTCCAAAACCCATTTTTGTTGTGCTTTATTTCCCAGTCTCTGCATTTTTGGAACCCATTGAGAAAAGGAAAATACTGGGAATAAGACTGGGTAAAGGATAGGCCCTGGAACCTAGGATATATGTCTGATTCCAGTAACCAGTTGAGTAATGCCGGGTAATTATTCATCCTTTCTGTGCCTAATTTTCTCTTTGTAAAATGGGAATAAATAATTACTATAAAATGCCTTCCACATAACAAAAGCTAGTGATTATTTTTTCCAGAGAGCATTCATGCATAATTTAGAGAAAGAGAGACAGTGAATGAGAGAGAGAGAGAGAGAGAGAGAGAGAGAGAGAGAGAGAGAGAGAGAGAATGAATGTTAAACATGAGTTTCTCTGCTTTCCCATGAGCTGGAACAGCCATGATGAATGAAAGAGAATCAAGAAGCCAAACCATGCCTTCCTGTGAGCCAGCTGGTATGCAGGCTGGGAGACAAAAAGTGCCCCCAACTCACCCCGTAAGCAACTGGTTGATTCGGAGGAACTCGGGGTGAGATGATAGCTACTGAGGTGAACAGAATAGCTTGGTTCTTGTATTGTTTGACTGACTTTGTAGGGCTGGGGCTGGTGGTCTGGGCATTTATTTGGAGGATGGCAGTGTGCATTGTGGCAACTATGTGGGATTTCCTTCTGGCTCGTTTTTGAAACCCAATGTTTTGTTTCATTTTACTGTTCTGTTTTATTCTTGTAAATGGTGGCCTGAGCAACTATTTTGAAGATAACTATGCAAAATAACAGCCATTGTTAAATTCCTGTTATCTTGTTTTGAAAATCTATATAGTTATTATTCTTTGTTTTGTTGTTTTTGGATTTATTTGCTTCTTGATTTTTCTGCTTTTTTTCTCTTTAAAATAAAAAGTTTAAATACAAGTTTCTGTACTTGGTCTGGGTATACAATCTCCATAGGTTATAGGGTTTTCACTGTAATGCTTTAAACATGCATGTAAGGGCACCAAGGCACTTTTGGTAAAATTGTGAAGTTAGTGAAACATTGAGGTAACTACTATATTGGTTAGCTCTACTTTCTTGTTCATGTCATTCACTTTGTTTGTATGCAAATCTATGCCCGACCCAGGTGAATATGCGAGGAGGCTTGTGGTTACATGTCACTCTCACAAGCATGTCTGTCCCTATTGTCATTCTATAAGCACATCTCAGACAGGGGATGTGAAAACACCATTCTCTCAACTGCAGTCTTGGCCTTGTAATTGGAAAGATCTTTTAAAATGAGAGTCATTCTTTGTTCAATTTTTGTTAAGCCAGAGAGAAACCCTAGTCAAAAAATTATTTGCTGATATATTGATGAGTGTTCACTTTCTGACTGCATGTCTATGAGGAATTCTTAGGCCTACATTACTTTATAAATAGTATATTACACATTAAAGTTATTATAAAGATCTATCTGCATCTAGTGGAGTGTAATGAAGATAAGAACAATTTTCTATGTTGGCACTAGGAAAAGAGGAAATTAAAGAGTAGGGTTAATCTGGAAGAAGAAAGGGGAGCCAGAACTTGTTTCTTCCAGGTTGACCTTAAGAGGCAGAAAATCAATCCCATTACATTGGGAATAAGGGATCTAGTTGAGAAGAGCTGGTGTTCTGCTGTGAAGACATTTGCATGAGGATAACTGATGTTAAATGGTAGCTGTGTAACCCTGCCATGTAGCTGGGAGATTTTGGAAATTCCCAGATATATGGAGGTTTTCCTTTAGTTAAACAGAGCAAAGTACATTAGTAAGAATTTGTTCCAAGGGAAATGCCATTATTCTGTGTGTAGGATGTGGAATACATTCTTATAACAAGGGAAAGCGTTTCAGTACATTATATATACTACTGACCTTTCCAAAAATTCTGGAGTTTGCAGAGGATTCAAAGTGATCTGGAGTTAGTTTATGTACAAATCCCAAGTGATCATAGTATAATGTGAAAACTGTATCATTAACAATTCCAATTTCAGTATATGTCTCTAGTCCTGTAAGGAAATAAATAGAATATGTGGTATAATACAGATGCGATCAGGCACATTCGGGGGAGTATGGCCGTAGACAAAATATGTGATACAATACAAACTGAATTATGATAATATAACAACCTGTAAAACTTTTTAAAATAAGGGATAGGAGTAGGGCCCCAAGACTCCTGAATTAGCAAAATACATGTTCATCTGTGTTCAATCCCTAGGAAGTCTTTTCCAGAATCCCCATTGTTACGTAAGATGCTCAGTGAAGTAGGTGAAAGACAGAACAGAATAAGGGATGTTTAATTAAGGGGTACAGGAGGGAAAGGAATTTAGTTTTCCTGGTAGTACTTTCTCTTCCTAAAACCAACAAATCAGGTTCTGAATAGATAAAAGCTGTGAGAAGACAACCACAAGTGGATTGTCAGTAGATTGGGTCATTATGTCGAAGAAGCAAACTGGGTGCCCTGTGGTTTTTTTTTTTTTTTTTTTTTTTTTTTTTTTGTGGGCAGCATATTGCTGAGAAGTACTGTCAGTAATCTGGTAGTTGAGCAGCCTAGGATAGTGATAGTGACCTAGAGGAAAAGGAAGAGTCTCTTTCCTGGAAGCAGCTAGAGTAAAAGTTCATACCTTGAGATGAGAAAGACTGACTTGTGCACATCACTGTATCTAAGCTTTCTAGTCTCTGACCCCTAAGCATAGAAACACTCTAGGATTCAATTCTTTTCTTTTCTTTCTTTCTTTTTTTTTTTTTTTGGTACCAGGGATCAAACTCACAACCTCATGCTTACCAGGAAAGTGCTTGAACAACTGAGCTAAATCTCCAGCTAGGATTCAATTCTTAAGTTTCTTTTCCTATTGTCTTTGGAGATCTTATCCAGTTTTAGAATTTTAAATCTATCTTTATGAAATAATGATTAAAAAATTAAGTCTCCCATCTAGTTTTCTTTCTTGAAGTTCAGACTAATAATATCTGCCTACCAATAGCTCCCGAACAATGTTGATTAGGCATCTCTATCCAAATGGAATTCATAATCCTCATGAGAACTGTCTCCATTCCCACTCTTCCTATTGTTCAATTCAAAAACCTTGATGTCACTCTTAATTTCTTTCATATGCTACCTATATCTAATGTATCAGCAAATCCTATTGACTCTATCTTCAGTATATACAGATGTGCTTCAATTTATGGACTTTTGTCCTGATAAACCCATTGGAAGTTGAGGATATCATAAGTCAAAAGTGTGTTTAATACACCTAACCTTTCTACTGTCCTAGTTTATCTACATGGCTCACTGTAAAGTATCAGTTGTTTCCCCTTGTGATCTCATGGTCAGTTGGCAGCTGTGCCTCCCTGATGCTGCCTAGTATAGTAAGATAATATCGTATTCAATATCTGTTGACTAGGAAAGATGAGAATTCAAGATTTGAAGTACAGATTACATTGAAATTATACTGCTTTCTTACTGTTTGTAAAGTCAAAAACTCCTAAGTTGAATCATCCTAAAATCAAGCACTACTTGCATATAGAATCCAATCACTTCCGACCATGGTCATTAGCGTCACCCTACACAAGCTACCTTTTGTATCTTATGCCTCCTAAGATTCTCCAAGATTGGTCTCCAAGATTCTACCTGTAGCTCACTGCAAACAACATCAATAACAGTGACAACAACAAAAACCAAAACCAAACAACCTACCAAATATTATATCACTTCATCTAATTCCCTAATCAAAACTCTCAATGGCTTCAACCTTCCCCTGAGGAAAAGTTGAAGTCTTCACAGTGCCCTCTAAGGGGGTCATGATCTGCATCCTGTTGACCTCTCTGACCTCATATTTTGGGCTGTTTACTCTGCTCTGGCCAGACCAGCCTCAGGTTATCTATGTCCACAATTGTATCGTCTGTCACAGTGACAGCCTTGTTTCTCCTCTGCAGCATTATGTTTTATATATTTTGCTTGGCTTTCTCAATGAATTCATTCCTCTAACACAGTAATGAACATGAGTAGTGGTAGCATGCTTCTTTGTTACTATGAATTTGATTATACATTTGCTATAGTTTTCTCCCAAGATAGTCTTTAATAACCTTTTTTAAAAATTTTGGGCTGCTAGGGGGTTTTGTTTTAAAATAGTGAATGATTATAATTTACCATTATACTGAGGGTCATCAAATATTTTTTTTCTCATTTATTGAGATTATAGGATTTTTTCTCCTGTAATCTGTAGTAGTACCACACTAATTAATTTTCTAATACTGAAATATCACAGAACCCTGACATAAACTCAGGAATGACGTATATTATAATATTCTTTTTATATATTGCTGTTAGCTAAAATTTCCTTAGAATTTTTACATCAATGCACCTTAACAGTACTTGTCCACCAGGTGGCACTCATGGTTAATACCTCGCTTCAAAGTATAGTAGTGCCCGGGTTTCTGCAGGTTATTTGTTCTAGGACCCTATAGATAGCAAAGGCAGAGAGTACTTATTTATACAATGTTTTACAAAAACTGGGAGTTGTGGTGTGCATCTGTAATCCCAGAACTCTGGGAGCCTGAAGCAGAAGACTCACAAGTTTTAGCCCAGTCCGGGCGATTTAATGCCTTAGTCAGATCCTGTCTCAAAATTTAAAAAACCAAAAACAGAGTTGGAGATGTAGCTCAGTCTCCAGTACCACACACACACACACACACACACACACGATTTCTATAACCTTAACCTGCATGCTTCAAATCGTCTCTAGATAACTTACAAGATCTAATACTACGCTGTGTAAATAGGTATTGTACTATATTATTTGGGGAATAATGACAAGAAATACCACAAGTGTTAGTACAGATGCAATTTTTTTCTGGTGTTGGGGTTTGAATTTACAACCTCAGGCATGGCTAGGCAAACAGAGCCTTAGCCTTTACCAAATATTTTGGTTCTAGGTTGGTTGAATCCATGAATGTGGAACTTAAGATATGGAAGTTTGACTGTACTTTGTCTCAATTATTTATATTCTTATTACTTTGAGTCTCCTGAATCATTGGTACAGTGGACTTTGAGTTTTACTGCTGTTTAAAATGTCTTCAGAAATGTTATAGCAGAATTTGGTATGGAACAAAGTTATTGTGTGTGCAGCAAGAGAAGAAAACTAAACAGAAAGATACATATTTATCAGGAGGCCAGTACTGTGGAAGAATTTACCACAATTCTACATTTCTTATAGAAAAATTTTCAACTATTTTATAGGACCTAAGAAAGGAAGAAAACCACAAGGTGAAAATTGCTTTGCATTATGCTATTGAGATATGTGCAAAATGATTGTCTTATCATACACCAAGCAATGCAACTACAGCCAGGGAAACACAATGTCAGAACAAATCGTGCGTCACTTAGAATCACTGTGAAAACATTGTGTTAAAGATTAATTGGAAGCATTGTTTTCTTTGTGTTACTAGAACAAAATGACTTTATAATTAACAGAATCTCAGATTTGGTGAAATATAGTGGTTACAAATCTTTCCATTGGCTTTGCATATGAATAATGAATTGGTTCCAAATGTTTAGGAGATATTATTTTTCCTTAAAAGTTCTGTGGGAAAACGTTTGGTATTTACTGTCAAAGAGGAGAATCCAAGAGTGGTTTGATTTAAATGCTACAGCTTCAATCAAGAATATTCCTTAGGTTCCACTAAACGCTTGCTGCTATTGGGAGAGAATGAGGCTAAGGCCAGGGTCCTGATATAGGATCAAGGATGTGTCTCCAATGGTATTTCCTCCAATTAGGCTCTACATCATAAAATTTCTACCACTTCACAGTGGTACTTTCCAACAGTATTACAAGCTGTGGACAAAGCCTTCAATTGTGGGCTTTTTTTGGGAAACATTTAATATCCAAACCATAACATCAACACTTGATATGATCAAATCGGGTAACTATACTTGATCACATGACAACCATGATTTTTACAAAAACATCTTTTATAGTGGAAGTTTGCCAAGTGAAAAAAAATCTCAGGACCCTGCATATCCAATTTGAGGCCAGGATAGAGACCCTGATAGCTGTCAGGGGAAAAATGGTACTCACTTCACAGCATACATGAAATTAGAGATTTCACATAGGCTTACATATGAAATCTAACCAAGGTGCTAGACAAAACAGACAGTATCTTCAAGACATTGCAATAGGCAAAGAATTCTTTTTCTTTTTCTTTTTGGAGATAGAGTTTCACTGTGTAGTGAAGGCTGGCCTTGAACTTTCTTATGTAGCCCATGGCGATCCTCTTGAGTGCTGGGATTTCAGGCATGCTCCATGTGTCTGGCAAGAATTACCTTTTTTGGGGGGTCTTTCTGAGACAAGATCTTGCTATGCAATTCAGACTGGCCTTGAGCTCACTTTGTAGCCAAGGATGGTCTCAAATTTGCAATGATTCTCCTGCCTCAGCCTACCAAGTGTGGGATTATAGGAGTGCACCAGCATGCCCAACTCCTGTGAGAATTCATAAACAGGATAAAAGAAGCATGAAGTACTAACTCCACCAAAAAATGAATTAAACTTTTAAAAATTAATAGTTTTTGTTCAAATCACACCATGAAGAGAATAAAGATAAGCCAATTATTAGAAGATAGTTTCGTGTCACATTTCTAATCAAGAACTTCTACATATAACACATTAAAAACTCATAGAAATCAGCAAGAAAATCCAATCAAAACTGAATTAAAAACTTGAGGCAATTTATAAAAAACAATATGAAAATCCCCCAGGAACATTTGAAAATATGGTCAACAATATTACTCATGCAAATGAAATCTTTACTGATACCATTTCATATTCACCATAATGGCTTGCGTTAAAAAGACTAACAACATGAAATGTTGGCAAGAACTAAAACTTTTTCACAGTGCTGATAGGAGAGTAAGTTAATACAATCCTTTCATACTACCGTTGGAAGCACTTAGATTTTTTTCTACAACAAGCTAAACAAACATATGCAGCAGGTCTATCCTTAGCTGTTTATCTAA